ACGCTTTCCTCACTGACCACGTCTAGTTTCCACTCAGTCATGTCACGTGGAAGCGGGACCAAATCGTGGCGTATCATCTCAGACTCTCAGGGGCCACGTGGTGTGGCCAGCTGGCAGGAGGCTCAAGCCCCAGGGAAATAGGACCCGAAGCCGGGAGGGACCACCAGGGAGGTCCTGGCTCAAGTCCAGAAGCGGCTGTCTGTCCTGGGCACTTCCGGCGCTGGCTCCCTGGTGCTGCTCCCTGGCAGTGGCCTGTGCAGGTGGGGTACCTCAGGCCCTGGGCCTTAGCCTTCAGAGGGACGACCTTGTGTGTGTAGGCGTCACCTCCCCCACGACACCGGGGCCCTCCCGCGACAAGCTGGTGTCGGGACTGCCCAGAACCTGCCTTGTGCTGCCCTGGGCTAGTGCGGTGGGGGTTAGTCATGACCCTTTAGCCTGGCCAGGACCCTCCAGCTGCAGAAGTGGAGACCCTGAGGGTCAGGTAGGGAGTCTCAATCCCTTATCTTTCCTTCTTGAGGACAGAAAATTCTAGAGGATCCCCAGAAATATGTTCGACTTCTGTCTGCAGACTGTCTCCCTGCAAGCAGGACAACATTGCCTCCACCCAGGTTGCCCCAGCAATTCAGGTGCCCAGTGGCATGGCAGTTTACAGAGACACCGTGTCCTCCCATCGGTGCCACCACCTCCTGGTAGGCAGGCAGGTTGCCACCGCTGGAGCACTTGCTAGGCACAAAGTTACTCTCCGGGTGTGGCCTCAACTGAGAGCCAGGCAGGTGGCTTGAGCCCAATGCAGGTGCTGGGACACTGGCCTTGGCTCAGCCATCTTCCCAGAGCACAGTCAGGCCATGTAAGAACAGACTGGAGACGAGGTGGCATCGACCAGGCACACCTGAGGCATAGCACATAGACCTGGTCAGGTGTGGGCTGGAACGTGGATGCAGAGGTGGGATTTTGTTTTGTGTTTTTTTGGCGAGGTTTTTGCTCTAGGGCGCATGCACTCGCCGGAAGGACAGAGAGACAGAGAGACAGAAAGCAAGAAATCACCTCCCCCCCAGGGGGGATGGCCACGCTGCAATCCCTTCTCCTCCATTCTCCTCTCGGGATCTTCAGCATGCACACACATGTGCCCAGCGTGAGTTTAAACCACCAGGTCCAGGACTACATGGGAGTCCAGCGACACAGCCATTGCGCCATCTGCTGGTCCCCTAGAGGTGGGCTGTCTTACCTGCCAGCCACACCCAGGTCCCGTCAGTCAGCCTACTCACCGCTGCCTTTCTTTTTATTGGGTGGTTAGAAAACTCATGATGTATTTTTTTCTATGCAAAAATGTGTCATGACTTTCCTACACCTCGATAGTTGACTTATTTCTCTCTTATGTGATGAGACAGAGCGAGAGAAACCACGTACCCCACGGGCTCTCGCTACAGGACCCACTCGACGCCGCCAGCCCTGTGTCATGGGCACATGCATTCCCAGTGTACCTGGGGGGGGGTCTAGGCTGAAACCCAGAACCCCCTCATGTGGGTCAGCCTCACAGAATGTCACATTTGGCTGGTCCTTATTTTCTCTTTAATTTTGTGCTTCATATACTTATTTTTTTTAATTGCCAGAGGATGTGTGTGCTCACGAGAGGGACAGAGAAAGGGAGATGGGATGTGGTCACACCGCAAGCCTTACCCTCCATTCCTCCATCCTGTCAGGTTTGGGGCACACACACACGCACGCCTGCTGTGTTTTCCAGCCATTGGGCCGAGACCGAACCATGGCGGGCTATGCAGAACCCAGCTCCCTGAGCCAGCAGACTGGGGCTGGCCCATGGCCTTCGTTTTCCAGCGCCGTCCTGTGGAAATGGAGACCACTGGTTACTGGTTCTGCATACTCCAGCATACGGAAAAGCAGCTCTCAGAGCACACCTGTCCTTGACGCCCATGGCAAGGCCCATCTCTGGACACCACCGCGTGACTTTATGAAAGCAAGGACTTTCTTCACATCCACAGGTGACAGCCTGCAGAAAGCTCTGTGACAGTTTCTTCATCACCTGTGAGGAGGAATGGGGAGGAAAGGGCGATAAGAAACGCCCTTTTGGTGGCTGCCGAGACGTTGGCACCGGTGTCGATCTTGCAGGGTAACAGCAGAGCAACTGAAATTGATCTTCAGGACGAACCAGGCAATACGGAGGCTCTTCACACTTTGTGGAACACACGCTCCTGTTTTGCTGCGACCCCAAACATTTCCTGTGAGGAGTGACTTTGCTGCCGATTGTGTGACTTCTCTGTGCACAGCTGACCGGCTCACACCAGACTCGCTGGGTCTTCCTCAGGTAACCTACAGCCAAGAGAGCCACGTGTCAAAGGAAACTCCGAGCCCTGCTTTCTGGGGCAAGGCCACGTGGCTTGATCCAGGCCAACCTGCAGCCAGAATTAGCGTGGAGGGATTCTTTGGGTGACATCATCACTGTCGCTGGGACTCCTATGTGACTGAGGTGTCATGCCAATGGTGCAGGGACCTGCGGCCCTACACTGTGCCCAGGGACGCCCACGTGGCAGAATCTCCCCGAGGAAGGGAGGGTCCCGCAGCTGTGCGCGGCTGCGGACAGGGCCCAGGGGGTGGGAGACCATCCCATCTCCATGTGTAACCCCCCCGCCCCCAGCCTCACGGTGAGATCACTATCCATTAGTTTGCTATGACGAGGACTGGCCAGGGAGAGGGCAAGTGAGAAACCCCCGCTGCAGGGGGAGGGCCACGCACCCGTCCCTCCTCCTGGGATTTTGGCACGCAAATACGCGCCTGGCATGTTTCTCGAGCCAGGGTCCAAATGGGACCCATGCGCCAGCCGGGTGAGACCCCGCCTTAACCTCCACGCGGGCGGCTGGCCCGCGAGGACACCTTAACCGCCATCTTTAAGTCTGCACGACGCAGGCCCAGATGTGGCCCTTGGGCTCCGTCCTAGCCGCTGGCGGGGAGTGGCAGGGGG